ACGAACCACGCGCTGCACCTCTTGAGGGAGGCGCAATCTCGGGTCTCTAACGCCCCAAAGCCCCGGCTCAGTGCAGAGCCTCTGCAGGAGAAGTGTCAGCAGATGGCCCGTGTGCTGCAGGAGCTCCACCTCATCAGGTATACACAGACCCACACTGTATTTCCAGAAGGATGCACTTTCTCCTACTTTTTTTTTTTTTTTTTTTTTATTTTTTTTATATGGTGCTGCAACATTACTTGATGTATTGGTAGGAACTAAAATATCCCTCAAATCTTGGTGGTTTAGAGACTCTAATAGCTTTTAATTTTCTCACAGGCAGACAATTTCCAAGGAAGGAATTCCTGAGGTTAGGAGTAACATCGGGGAGTTGGATGCTGAGTGGGACAAGAAGTGGATGCAAACCCTGAAAGAAACACCACTAGTATCTTTCCTGAATGAAGATCCGGTGAGTTGTCCTTCTGATTTTTTTTGATCTCATTCAACCCCAAATCTTCCACATTGACAGTAAAGTCATATACAGTATATGTGTTTTGCCAAATACCAAAATGGGAACAAGACGGCATGACTTTGTTCTGTTGCTGCAGTTATGAATCCAGTCGCAGTGAATCAAAAGGCTTTTCACTGTCGATGCATTGCTAACTTGATACGTCTGTTTTTTTTTGTTTTTTTAGGCTCTGGGCTTCCTCTCACCAATGGCTCCACTGTCTTTTGAACCAGCTACTGATGCCTCTTACACGAGTGGCATCTTCTCCCAGTTTCCTGCATCACTTCTTGGTGGGCAAAATGATATGAATGAGAACATGCATAATGTGTTTTTAAATAGGATCTATGGAAAAAGATTTTTTTTTTATTTCTTACAATGCTGCTTTTATTTTTCAGAGGAGAAGCCTGCAGAGAGTAAATCACATGACGGATTACATGACACTTCTTTTAACCAGAGCAGGTAATGTCAACAGCCATGAAGAGAAGTCTTCTTGTTTGTCATTATTGTCTTTTGAATGGGAGGCAGATACATTGGCAGTGCTAAGCCTTGCTCTGTCCGTCACAAGTCCTCCCTACAGCATAAGAGCTCTCTGATGACCGTGGCGAATTGAGAGAAATCGCCACGGACAGATACGGAGCTGACACTCTGTGAGTTTTATACGCAACAAAGTTCCAAATATGTTTTGCCATGTACCAGAAATAAGCTTGCATAGTTTATAAAGCAGAGGACATGTGTCTCTGCATTAAAGCCTGAAGTGTTAAGGCTTGATTGAATACTTGGAGCATGTCAAACAGATTGTCTTTTCATTCTAGGAGCTTGACTTGAACATTACTCTACACTCTGCTGAGAAACAATTGAATGGAGTGAAGATGTAGGGCAGTGTGCCAACTTCATGCAGGTTTTTGGCACTGAGTCAAGGCCACATAGCTGGAAGTTATCAGCTACTTTTAGAAGCTCTATGATGCTTTCACTGTTCCTGAGCTGTACTACACTGATGAAAATGTGATATGGGGTAAAACAGACTTAAATGTTAAGTCTGTTTAACACGACATGTTTTTTTTTTTCTGGAATCAGCTCTTACCTACGGCAGCTGAAAGGATCGAAAGTCCTGATGTCACCCTGCAGCATCATCTCAAGCAAACACCTCTCTTGACTGGCTGTTTGACACACCTCCTGCTCCTCCTGCTGTATCTCCATCTGTAGCACCACCTCAGGTTAGTAATGAGCTTGAGAATTCTGTTTTTTTTTTTTTTTTGTTTTTTAAAGTAAAGTGCATTTGCTCAACCTTTTGAATGTCTGTGCATAAAATCCTACATCAACATATTAACAAAGGTGTCCTTGTTTTCAGGCCAGTGTGAGGAAAACAGCCCACGTTCAACCGAAGACTTCTTCCAAAAGACACAAGGCTCAAATACTCAATATGGAGTGTGATAACCTTGCTGACCAGGTATAGCACTGACTGTTAAGGTCATAAAGAATTATGAATGCTAACCTTTTACAGCTGCTGAAAGATTGCCAGTTTAAGGCAGGTTATTTAAACCCTTGTTACCCTGCTTCTGTGTTGTGTAATGCACCAACCGCATGGTGGGGTGGAATTGATCCACCATCGGAGGTAATAACAGATGTAACAGGGGATGACACGGTGTCTGTGTTAATGTTAGAACCAGCAGGACGGATTAGTGCTGTGTGTATGTGGAGCTCGCACTGTGTGTTCACAGGCTGCGCTACTCAAGCTTTCCCAGCACTGCAAGACGATTTGAGATCACGCACTGGGACACCAATACTACGCTGTTTAGGATGCTATGTATAGCACGGAGGCATGACTGCAGAGCGTCATTAGGGCCTTGATGTAGAATGGCAATCTGTAAGCGGCTTATTTAACTTAGGGAAAAAAATAGTAAAGACAACTAGTTAATGGTACGAGTCTGTGTTTTCTTTTTAAACCTCTAACACTGTGTGTATGTTAGTTTGCAGATGCTGTGACTACGACCAGTCCGACAGACGGCAGGGTCAAAGGGCGTGACTTGGAGAGCCTCTTGAGCACTCTTCATAGAGATCCCTTCTCCACAAAAAAGCAGCTGCCCCGAACACCTGAGAGCCTAAGTAAGTTTTCTTTTGCGTCAGATCTCACCCTTAATTTAAGGTTGTTCTATTCACATGTAAGATTATGTTGAGCAGCATCAGGGTTGCCTCAAACAATGCATTCTGAGTTTAAGAAATAACTGTCATTGTTGGAGATCTGCATTTCCCATTGTCTCTGTCTCAGCTTCTGAACTCGTTTTCACTTTTCTTTAGTTATGGATGTGAAGAACTCCTGGCGTAAGGCACTTCAGGAAGACAAAGCTGAGAAAATGGGACATTCAGCAACATTTGAAGACAGTGTGATGGGGCGACTCACCCCCCTTGATGAGCCTCGCAATGTCTTGCTGAGCCCAGATTCTTCCTCCAAGAGTTTCACTTGCAGTATGAAACCTATATCAACAAGCGGAGAGGTTAAAACCACTCTGCTGTGGGACACCTTCAACACGGAGGCCCTCGACAGCCCGAGCGGCACAGGCAGCAGTGCGGTCCAGTTCAGCCTCGAGCACGAAACACTCCCCGAAATGCCGAGCTGTGACAGTCTGCTGAGCCTCGACGATGAAGAATCAGACATGAAGAGTGAGGATGAAGATGATTTCCTAATCCCTGCCCTTAAGAGTCAGGAGAAGCGGTCGCCCCTTGCCACACTTCACCTGAGTCAGCAGGCGTGTGCTGACAGTTCCTTAATGGACAGAAGGAAGAGGACTCCCGAGTGTCTTCTAACGGGTCACATGAGCCCAAGTTTGGACAAAGACTGGCTTATGGAGCCTGCTAAATCAAATGACGCCACAGACAAGGTTTTCTCCCTGGACTTGGACACACTGGAGACGCCGTCGCCAGCCAAAAAGCAGGAGTACGGCCTCCCAAAACTGATCACATTCTCCCCAATAGATGACATGAAGTGTTAAATACATTCCTCAGAGAACCCCCATTTCCAGCCTTGACTGTCTTAAACTGATATTTGATTTTTAAGAAAAGTTTGCACATTGATGTTAAATAACTAACTAAATATAGTAAATATGTTTAATTTTAAAAAGTAGACATGAACTGCTTAATAAAATTGTAAAGTGTCATTTTTTTTTTTTGTAAATATTTGCAATTCCTAGCTTCATATTGTTTCTTGTGCTGAAGAAGGATCTCTCATCAAATCTTCCTTTTTAAAATGTGGGAATATAGTCCACTGTATTCAACAAAGCTTGTCTGCATCTTCCCATTTACATTGCACTTTTATCATGGTTGAATTTAAATCACCTCCGATGTGAGAAAAGAAACAGCTCAGTTGGTTTGATGAAAAGAATATAATTTGTAATATTTTTTAAAATAAAAATGTAATGCAAACATTCACGGTTCCTTGATAGCTTTTTCTTTCCTTGTAATTTAAGCTGCAGGTTGAACTAAAGTTAGACTGTTGGACACCACATTAACCCTCAGCGTTGCAGTGTTCATAATTCAATATTGAAAAAAGGTTAAATATTTCTCCTTATTGGATATTTGATGACGAGAGTTTTAACCACAAGAAAACGTGTTGCATCATCACTACAGAATTGCGTAAATTCAAATAAACTGGTTTTCTCACGCACCTGTTGCTTTTCCAATGTAATTACTCTCAGCTGAAGGTAGGGGGTGTCAGACATTGTGCAAAACACCGAAACAATTGTGTCAAGGTGGAATAAAAACTCGTAGAGGACGTAAAGTCTATCCCTTTCACAATAAACCGCAATTGGGCGATCAACCTTTTCAGAGGCTATAAAATGTTTTACCATAATAAATTGATGCAGGAAAAATGTCCATTTGTTTCTACTTCAGCACTGTCTAGTTTTTACATATGCCATAACCTACGAGTTGTTAGGAGCCGCCATACTAAAGCTCCTTGTGAGCAAAAAAATATTTAAAAGTTATTTATTTGGATATAACAATTGATTAATTCTTGAAGAAAATGAATATGCAATCAATTATATCACACCTGAAACTGTACACTGATTGTAAATGTGGAAAAAACACAAATTTTCATAATTTATGCGTTTTAAGCCTACTATAGCCTACAACCTTTAATTATTATAATAATTATAATAAAGTTACTTGTCGACACACTTGCAATTTGACAAGCTTGAGTCAACTTTTCTGTAAACTTCAACTGTAATTAATTTTAACATCAAGATTCATTATTAAATTGTGCCTTTTAAAAATAGATACTGCTACTAATTATACAACCAATAAACACAACACCATGTTTTATTCACAAACTCTTTCCATATGTTAAAAAAAAAAAAAAGTACTAAAAACCAAGAGTTAGTAACTATTTTAAAAAACGACGACTGCGGTTTTATTTTGAAATGACAATCCGGAAGTTTTGCTAGGTGTGCTTGACAGCGCGCCCCGAGGCCAGCCTTTGTCAGGTTTCAGCAGCGGGGGGGGGCGACGACGACGACGACGACGTAGCCTCTCCTCTTCTCTGGGCGGTTCCAGTCTGAAAGAGACGTCCGCGGAGAAAAAGCTCCCCGACAAAAACTATCAGCGACAGACACAAACATGGCGCCTGCCTCCGCCAGCAACTTCAGGTGAAAGTGTGAAGAAGAAGAAGAAGAAGAAGAAGAAAAGCGGAGCAAAGTTTCAAAGGAGGATTTTACGAAGTGCCCCCTTTTTTGTTTTTTCCTGCGCGTCTTCCAGAGTCTGACCTGTTTCTCACAAATAGAAATACGGAACATATCAAAGCGGGTAAAAAAACTGCAAGTTGCCTTCATGTCAACATTGTCTCGGGCTGCAGTGTAAACAGCTGGTGAGTGGAGCTTATTTGTTTTGAATATGAAGCTATAGGAGAGTTACTTAGAAACAGTATTGTAACTATTTAAGATGTCTTTATCTGTTCTTAAGTAAGCTCCTGCGCTAAAATTACATTTTCTTGGTGTTAAGCTGCTGCGGTGTGTTACCACACTTTCCACCGTGTGTGTGTGTGTGTGTGTGTGTGTGTTATCCAACCGCGCAAAGAGAGACAGGCAGCCACGTATCACTGGTTTGATCACAGGAGGACTTGTCTTTTGTTTTTTATCCGCGGTGATGTGTATTTCCTGCACGAAAAGCTGACCTAGTTATGGGTCGGATGCAACAGTTGGGAATACAGCAGCACCCCCTCCTACTTTTTTTTTTTTTTTTTTCCTCCTCCTCCTCTGCTTGTGAGTTCCTGGCCCTCCTTGACGCCTGATAATCAGGACTCAGCTCTCCTGGAGCCTGCCCTAACCTTGCAGGTGTCTGCTCCAGCACACACACACACACACAGTTTCCTGCTGAAAATCAAACATATATTTAAAATTCAAGACTTCAGCAGGGGAATTTTGCTCACTCTTTAAGCCAGGGATGGGGCAACTTTGGTCACAGCAAGGAGCCACATTCATTTAACTCTCACTGCCAGAGGGGCCAAATTGTAGTATACAAAAAACGATTACAGTCAATTATGTCTCAGATTTAACTTCAACATATACTAATGATCAAATATTATTATGCACATATTTCTGGTTTTCATGAATTCATGGCAGATTTTTCTTCATGTTTCCAATTAATTGACCTGAGGGCCACATTGAGGGTTGATGGGGGGGGCCCGCATGTGACCCACCCTGCTCTAAGCTATCCCCAAGATAAGGAACTTGTAACCTGACTTGTATCTGGGCTTGTGGACTCACTCTCTCTGCATTTGTATGACCCTGACCCTAAGGACAAAGAGCCGTGTAACATACCTCTGCTGTTTTGTTTTATGGCCCCGTGTGGAGGGAGCTTAATGCCATTAAGTTCGATGCCAAGGTGCTCGCATATCTACGCCTCAGCACTTGAATGTTTGCCAGCCAGCAGCAAGTCTGGCCCTCCAGGGCTGCAGAGTACACCGCTTCCCATCAGCGTTTTTTGGTGAATCACGGCATGCATGTGATGTTCCTGTTATGGCAGCCGTGGCACAAGTCCCAGCAGAGCCAAGGATGGCACTTCCTCTCTTCTACTGTACACATTACAGTTTCAACGAGGCGTTATACCGACTGAGACCAGAGTCAGGCTGTAACAGAACAATCACGACTTGTGGAGGGAGTAAATGGTTGGAATAGCTTTTGCAGAGTTGCAGGAAATGAACCACTGACATGTGGAAACATGGAAGAAAAATCTCTTTCTTGACCTTGGCTTGGCCTGACAGCGGCTGGAAAAGGGGAGTGGAGCGAATGTTGCCTCTCGCCAACTGCTTCTGGTGTGCAGGTATAAAGTACGTCATTGCTGCACTGTGGCTTGGGTACATTGAACTTGCACTTTGTCACCGGGGCTGGCCATCCAAAGGCTCTGTCAGGTGACAAAGGCAAGGAAAAAGTTTGCAGTGACAGGCTGTGGAAGGACTCGGTAGTTGCCGCTGCAAAGTCAAATTGGAATCTGATGAGTGTGAGGTATAACTTAGTAATATTTGTGTGTCTGTGTGTGTGTGTTTTCTTACCTTTTTTAGATTGGTCGGTTCGTCTGAATTTGAATTTCTGTTTAACCGACTTGGAAATGAGTTACCTAGAAACATCCCTGCCTCCTCTTTTTGTAGCTTGGCTGCTGCTGCTGGAGACTGAGCCTGGCCTGGTTCATCCTGATAATATGGAAATTGCAATTAATTGGGCAGCTCTTATTCAACCCCTCCTTTCAGAAGTTAAAGTTCACTGCACTTCCACTTGTAGGATTGTAACTGGACCCGAAACAACAACAACAACAACAACAACAACAACAACAACAACAACAAAGATTTTCAGTAATATTTATTTGCTTTATATATTTTAGTGACTTTATGTGAGGACGTCTTGCTCCATAGAGAGGTCAGGATTCATTAACATAACAGCATCCCTTTGGCAGCTAGGGAGTTATTGTCTCGCTCAAGGCAAGCCAATTTTTCTTTCCACCGTTGTTACAATTATTATTTTGCCAAACTATCCTGAAACACTTCAGTGGAGCTGCATTGTTAACCTCCTGTTTGCATAACTGAAAACATATTAACTTGAGGAAGTCAATTTCAGCCAAAAGAATCTTGTAACCTGGCCAAAGCTGACCCTCTCAGATAACCTATTTCTTGTCTCTGACCCTTGTACTTTGGTTCACTTTAGATGTCCATCCCCCCCCCCCCCCCCCCCAGTATAGGCCTGAGTCCACGCTGGTTTAGTCCCAGCTGGGCAGTAAGGGCAATGAGTTTGCCCTCGCTCCCTTCTCCTCGGAGTGGAAAGAATGCTCTCTGTCTGCCGGGCTGTCACGCTCCAGGAGGGAGGCAGTCTTGTGACGTTTCTGCTGAGCCTAGCCTCGCTGCCCTGAGCTGCCTCTCATCGTCAAACCAACGCGGGGGGGGGGGGGGGGGGGGTTTGAGTCGCAGGAGGTCACGTTTGGTGGGAACCCTTAACTGTCTTTGCCCTACTTTCTCGTCAGATTGTGGGAAGCATGACCTACCTGTTGCCGCTGGCTGTGCAGGAAACCGTTGGTTTTTCTTTTTGGTTTTTTTCTTGACACAGTTCAGCAAACACTCACAGTGTGTCACACTCTCTTGTGAGCACACCTGCCTCTTAAATCACATGCTTGCTCAGGTCTTTGCAAAGTGTAACTGTGGACCCACAGAGAGCCAGGAAGGAAAAACCGGATTTTTTTTCTTTTCGCTTCAGTCGTTAGGATCTGTGCCACTTTTCATGTATTGGGTTGTATTCACTGGTTGGTTTTGGTTTCTTTGATGGAATATTAGCAAACCATTAACAGTTTGATGTCTGTTATCGTGCAAGAAACAGTCAGCCAGTTGTGAAAATTACACATCAATTAAATATCACAAACATTTGCTGTGTACACCCTCTAACTATTACAGTATTTCACTGCTTCCTGATTGGGCAGTAATTGAAAATACAACACAAAGATAAAATCCCTGGGATCATTTAAAATAAAAACAATGTATCGATAACCAATGAGCTGTTATTACCCAACAGCTAACCCTCACATTGAACCACTTTGAAGCTAACACTACCTTTAACTGTGGAATATAATGACAACAATTATAACTTTATTAGAGACAACAGAGCGCAAATAACAAACACAACAAAACCCCAACAGTAAAAGAACCCAAACGAAAACCCTGACCAACGTCAACATCATAACTCATAACAGATACCTAAATTAATTCTAAAATATCAGCATTCATGTGTTTAAGCCTTGGAGCAAAACAACGACAAAAAAACGCTGATTGAAAAATGATCGAATGCCAACGTTAGCTGTTGTTCATCGGTAGCTAAAGTGTTGTCAAAAATGTCATGTGACATAATGTTCTTCTCTTCAGTTGGTCATAAAGTTGGTACTTAGTGAAATGATAACTATTTGTCAGATTCCCAATGTTTGAACCCTTAAAACCAAGATTACAACATCCGTTTGATGCCAGCTTTAAGCCTCCCGACCTGTGTGATTGACTGGTGTGGCATTAGATCAGGCATTCAGTGTTACATTTAATATCAAGCAAACAAACAATGAAGTATTTTCACTGAAAACACATCTGTTCATTGAATGCGATTCATTAGTTTCAGCTGTGGTATGACATACATGGCTGTTTACTGAAGCAGAACAGCAACAACAAACCTGATCTGCTGTGACTGTTATCAGTGATATGGCAGCTAGATACCTATTATATCGAACTGTGTCAATAGCTAATGTCTGTATCTTGTTGAAATCCAACTTAGCGTATTTCCTGTGTTCAAAAAAAATGTTGAAGAGTGAGAGGTCTGTTGTTTTGCCAGGCTGATCTGAAGCTAAACTGCAGACAGAGTGAAAGCTCCACCTCCAGCAAACTCTGAAGAGCAAGACCTGTTTGAAGTGCACATAAGCGTTCCTTTTTTTATCAACAATAACACAAAAAAGTATCCCCCCCCCCCTCTGCCCCTTATTGTCTTGTAAACTGAAGTCTGGTGTAGCTCCTCCACCAAGTTTGGCTGTTGGTTTCATCACAACACATTGTTAAGATTAATTAGCACGGGGAGGTATTTACAGACCACATTTAACAGCCCCACTACTCACACACATGCTGTCGTTCGCAGCATATGAATTCAATCAAGCAGCAACCGAGCTGAGTTTAATCGGAGCGCATCTCCACCTCGAGCCCACGCTCCAACCCAGAGTCCGAGAGTAAGCACACTTTTTTTTTTTAGGTGCCTTGTAAAACAGGGGGTTTCGTCACCTCGTTGGCACCTTCCACTCAGTCTGGCCTTCGCCGCTGACAGCATGCTGTGATGACAGGTGGCAGGGAAGGCCACTTTGCTCCTCAGATCCTCCAAAGCCCACACTTACAGAGTAGCACTTGAGGTAGACACACTGGGGCTGCAGAAATTAACCCAAACGCAGCCACAGCTGGAATCAAATGACTTTTCTTTGATGGATTTTTTATTTTTCATGTGAGCAAGTTTACCTGACTGACTTAAAATGCACTTTAGAAGCCCTGCAGGAAGGAAAAAGGAGTTATTAGTACTTGCACAGAAACTCATATACATCTGAAAAAGAGGGGTTTGTGTGTAGGATTAGCCTGTTCTATTTATAACCATGGGTCAGCTGGCTTTCTAGTAGTATTCCTGCATCTGTACACACACACACACACACACACACTTGCGTCATTGCTTTTTATTCTCATGTGTACTGTCTATGTTACGTGATGTTTGTGTATGTCACTCTCAGCTGCTGTTTCAGACGAGCTGGGAGTGGACGTGCATGGCAGAGCTCCTGCTGAAATAATATAGCACTGTCTGTTGTCCAGCGTTACACACA